CTACCAAGACAACAAGTGCATCACCTCAGGCCCCAGCTGTCATACCTATAAACTTTATCCCATCAGTTTAAAGCATGGAACCTATAACAACTCAACACCTTTCTAGGCACTTAGACCCCTTGACAGTACCTATGTTTGAGCAGCCTAATCAACCTAATTTGACCCTAGACCCTGCCAACAGTAATCCATCTCCTATTGGCACTCCTGCAACTCATGTGACACCTACTGCCTCATAGGCTACTCAAGGGGACTTGTCAAGTGCTCTCAATCCTATTACCACTTTAAAAGACATCACACTTCTGAAGCAGGCCCCTCTACATATCTTGACAATGCTGCTCACAAGTCCATAGACTCTAATGACAACTTTTCCAGCTCAGAGACTGAGGCTCTTGCTTGTCCAGAGGGTAATGCATCACTTCTATCCACTACTGAAAATACTCATAACTCTACTCCCCTAGGAACTCCTTCACACTCAATATTTTCTATTTCCACATCTGAGTCCTCTCACTCCCCATCTATTCCCAGCCATAGATTTCACCCTTCACTCTTGGTTAATGATCATCCTATGATGACCAGAGCCAAGACTGGAAGATCCAAACCTAAGGCACTAGTGGCACATACTGAATCTGAACCCACTACTGTAAAACAAGCTCTCTCTCACCCTTCCTGTCACACTGCTATGTAGCCTGAATTTGATGCTTTACAGGTCAATCACACATGCACTCTCACAATACTGCCACCTGAGAGGAAAGTTGTGGGTTGTCGATGGGTATTCAAAATCAAGGAAAATGCTGATGGCTCTATCAATAAGCACAAAGCTAGACTTGTAGCCAAGGGATATCATCAAGAACACGGTTTTGACTACACTGAAACATTATCCCCTATCGTTAAGCCCACCACTATCAGAGTCATTCTTACCTTGGCACTCACACACAAATTGGAGATCCAACAAGTTGATGTCAACAATGCCTTTCTCAATGGAACTTTAACTGATGAAATCTACATGACCCAACCTCCCGGTTTTGCCACATCTGACAAGACACTTGTATGCAAGTTACACAAAGCTATCTATGGCCTCAAGCAGGCCCCACGGGCCTGGTATGAAAAGCTGGCACAAGCCCTAATCCACTTTGGGTTTACCATATCCAAATGTGATAGCTCTCTGTTTCTCTATTGCACTCAAGGTACTGTTCTGTGTGCCCTTGTTTATGTAGATGACATACTGATTACAGGCTCGAATCATACTCTTATTCATACCTTATTTTATCAACTTCACATTGCATTTACGTTGAAAAAGCTAGGCAGACCAAAGTATTTTCTTGGCATTGAGGTTAACTTCCAATCAGATGGCTAAATGCTTTTGAAATAGTCGAAGTACATTAGAGATCTCCTGTCTCAAGCAAACATGGTTAATGCCAATGAAGTTCCAACCCCTATGATGACCAGCTGCAAACTCAGCAAACATGGAGCTTCAGAGTTGGTTATTCCTTACTTCTATAGGTCCATTGTGGGTGCATTGCAGTATGTGACTTTAACTAGACTAGACATTGCCTACAGTGTAAATAAGGCTTGTCAATTCATATCTGATCCCCTAAAAACTCATTGGTCTGCAGTTAGACGAATTCTCCGGTATCTAAGTGGTACTGTCTCCTATGGTTTACATCTCTCTCCGTCCGCTACAGCTTCCAAATTGTCTTTCATGCCTATAGTGACTCTGACTGGGCCAGTGATCCAGACGATAGGCGGTCCACTTCTGGCTCATGTATATTTTCTGGACCCAATCTTGTCTCATGGAGCTCTAAGAAGCAAGCCTTGGTTGCTCGCTCCAGCACAGAGGCAGAATATCACGCTCTCGCTCACACAACCTCTAAACTACTATGGCTTGAATCATTGTTGTCTGAGCTCAAAGTAATATATCATACCCCTATTCTGATGTGTGATAATTTGAGTGCGGTTATGCTATCTCATAATCCCGTCCTTCATGCTCGCACCAAGCATATTGAGCTTGACATACATTTTGTGCGTGAACGAGTTGCGGCTGAACAACTACGTATGCATCATGTTCCTACATCTGTTCAGTTGGCTGACACGTTTACCAAACCGCTTGGCATTGGAGCATTTCAAAATTTAAGGCGCAAACTCAAGGTCACAAGTTTGGATATTAGAGATGATAATAAAGAGAGTGAGTGTTCCACCCTTGTATAAGCTATATATATATATATATATATATATATATATATATATATATATATATATATATATATATATATATATATATATATATATATATATATATATATATATATGTATATATATATATATATATGGTATCATGATAAGTGAATAATATAATATAATATAATATACAATTACAACTCTATTCTACTTTACTTTCTCTCTCTTTCTCTTCTCTCTCTATCTGTAATAGAATTTTCTCTTTATCTGTAACAGAATTCTGTTACTCAATGATGAACCTTCATGTTCATCTTCATCAACTCTAGTAAACGTCAATGACCGCCTTTTTGAACAAGACGGCTTTTTCTTATTCCACAACAGCCAAAGGTACCCTGTGATTGTTCCCTACCCCATGTCCTATCTCTTTCCTCGTCGTTCCTTTTGTTCCATCAACCTCTAAACCTAAGATCTTGGAAGTATCATCACATGTCTCATCAAGGTGCTGGTCTCTTTTACCATCTTCCTCCTCTCCCTCTGACAAGCTCCAGTCCCTCGAAGCTCGAGATATGTTTAAGGTTTTTAAAGATTATGGACTGGTGGAGGAAGTCTTTATTCCATCAAGAAGAGATCGGAGGGGGAAACAATTTGTATTGGTACGTTTTAGGCATATCGAAAACGTAAGACTGTTGGGAACAAAACTTGATAATATCTTCATTATGGATAGGAAGATCTATGATAATCTTTCAAGGTTTAAACGTCATAATGTGAATGGAATGGATCAACATTTTGGAAAAGAAAATATTAATATGGATTGTGGAAGAGTTAGAGTGGCACAAGGTGAGAAAAGGGGGCAAGCGGAGTAAAAACAATGCATCTTACGCACAGGTGGTGGGGCGTCGGAACTTGGATCATGGAAAAGGAGGTGTGTATGATGGAGGTGATAAGAGATCCAAGAGAAAGGACAAATACTGATAAAAAACCATTTTTTGCTCATTTGCAAATTAATGTTGATAAAAAAGATTTGGTTAGATTTGAGAAAGCCTTCGTTGGCTATTTTGATCCGGTGAATTTGTCGATCTATGTGACAAGTGCGGGTAATGTTTCTCTCAATTTCAAATTGATATGAATGTGTGAGTTTGAAAATTAATGCGTGTGTGAATTTGAAAGTTATTTTTAATATCAATACTCGTTTAGAGGCATTCAAAATTTGATATCCAATGTATCTAATTATAATATGTTTGTTCATCTTTAATATATAAGTTTTTGTTAAAAAATAGGTAGCAAAGTTAATTATTTAATTGATTCTACTTGAGGGTTGAGATTTCAGTAGTTTAACTTCTAAATCATTCAGATAAAAGGTTGAGATTACATGTTAATTTCTGGCACATGATTAGTCTTTTTGAGAAAACCACTCTTGCATAACTTTAGTGCTTATATATGTTTATGATGTTTCCTATTAGTAAAAGCAATGCATATCTAGAGATTTCTCAATTTAAAATAAAAAATTAAATTAAAGAAAACAATTTTTTTATAAACAAATTAACTGCATATTACGTGAAAGAAAATGATTCCTGCATATTAGTTTACTCCGAATTTATATGTGAATTTTTTTTACAAATGTACCTGCGACTCTTTTGAACAAATATTTTGGTTGAAATCAGAAAAACAGAAGAAAAAATTGCAAGAACCGTGATTCCTAAAGAATTGTGATTTCTAGAAATTTTTAATTCAAATTCAGAGGAAAACAAATTTTTAACTCAAATTGAGAGGAAAAATAGTGTTAGAATTATTTTAGATTTGCGAAATATATTAGTATATTTATTTATGTGTATTTATTTAGCCATTCAATCTCTGTGCATATATATACATCTTTCTTTCATCCTACTTTCAATCTAATCAAATAAGAGAATATAAAAATGTCAACTTTCATTCCTCTTTCTTCATTCTATACCAAACAACTGAATAATACTTTCACTTATCATTTTCTTTCTTTCCTTTTACTTTCTTACCTCTCTAGCCATTTGATACTATACTTTTCCACCCTATTTTATCAACCCAAATCCTCTCTACTAAAAAAACCTCACATTAGCGCATTTAAGTGTATTTGTCCATCTGATTAAAATCGAACAACTCTACATTCAAGTGTATCTATCCATCTGATAAATCAAACAACTATAATTTAATGCTGATATCTATTTTTTCTGAACCGTCCGATCAAAATCAAACTGTAACTATTATTTTGACCGTGAATATGTAGGAAAAGTTTGACTACATGGGAATTCAATTTCATTTTATTTTGAACCATTGGCATTATTGATTAGCACAAATAGAATACAACAAAAGAGAGAAGTTGCTTGCGAGGTAATGCTTTTGGACTAAGAAACAATTTTTGCATTCTAAATTATTAGAACAATTTCAATCGTAATTGAAAGTTACATAATGTATTAAAAAGGAAACAAGAGGAATCCAAGCACAAGTTTTGCCCAGGTTCAGCAAATGTATGTCAAATTATATTAAGTTGCATAAGTCATTAAAAAAAACAAAGAGATTAATTGAAAGGTACTAAAACAAGTTTTACACTATCAATAATCCAGCATAACCAATTAAATTCAAAAAGAAAATAAAATAGACTAACTAATCCCTCCTTGTTAGGAATCAGCCAAAATAGCAACAAAAAAATGAAGAAAAAACTGAAAAATAACAATGAACTTGTATTTTTCAAGACAAACTTTTATTTTTATAAATAATCACAATAATAATACATTAGATAATATGCGAATGATGTAATAAAAAGATAGCGCAACATTTTAATAATTTTCTATAATTTAAGCATGTGCGGGTTCAAAGGAAGTGAGATTTCGGAAGTGAAGCCATAACTTCTCATACACAACAGCTTCATAGATCTTCGAAACGGAACCTTCGCCGGCGGAGAGAGTGAGGTGGTAGTTAGTCCCTGCAACAACCTGAGATTCACCTTTGATTACCTTATTAAGCTTCAGTTTCGCACCACTTTGCTTGTCGTACTGATTGACGGCGAAATTAGCGATTTCGATGACGTGAGGATCGTTGATGTCTTCGATTGGGGTATAACCACCAACCGACGGCGAAGGTAGTTTCCTTGAAGAAGCAGAGGCTATTAGAAGAAGTATGAGAAGAATTAGGGTTTGAAATTTCATGATTTCTTTTTTGCTTCAGAGAGAGATGGTGTTGCGTTGAGTAGTTAAGCCTTTAGACGGTTATTTATATATTGATAATGTTTAAAGATCGCATAAATTGCCACGTCATCGTAACTTGGGATGCCCCATAAAGATTTTCTTGAATGTTAAGTTAAATAAGTTGTTGGGAAGTAGTACTAGTGTATTAATAAGTTGTGCTTTGTTGTGTAGCCCACAGATGAAATTATTAGGTAGGTTAGATCCATGAGCTGCAGTTACTTCTTTAAAGGTTAAATTAAAACAATGATTAGAAAGAAGAAGAAAAATCAAACCGACACTTGAAAGTTGAAAATATAGTTTATCTTGTATGGATCCATTTGTTTGATATTTTAATGATATTATTTTTGAATAATTTGAAGCAAACAAAATAGGATTGAAAATGTTAGAATTATTAAGTGGACATGTCCTAAACCTTGGGCCCAAATTACCAATGGATGACAATGACCCAATATTGATTTACAAATTTAATTTTGAACCAAAATATAATCTAAGTCTTTTTTAGAGATGGACTCTAAGTTAACCTTACAAAAACTAATTTGTAAAGTGAGTGATTTTATTCTATATAAATTATTTTTTAGATGTATCTCTTACTAAGCAGGACTTTGACAATTTTTTTCAATACACCCTTTCATAAAAACATTATTAGATTGGGTGTGTGGATATTAAGATGGACAATATTTAGATCGATCAATAGACTCTAATATCATTTAAAAAAATATGTGTCATGCATATTTCATTGTATAACCAAGTATATATACATTAGTATCATCATTATCAAAACAATATTAAATCATAATGGTAACCTCTCAATTAAATGAGATTTACTTGTTAAACAAATGCAAATGAGTATATGTTCAATATAAAAGATATTTAATAAGTATAAAACATAATTACATATTCTAATACACCCTCGTACTTTAACCTAGAGGTTGTTGGATATTGAGATTGAATAAAAAATTATCAAAAAGTTGTCGTGTAAGGCCCTTATTGAACATGTAAACTATTTGATATTGTGAAGGGACATGTAACACGCAAACTTGTCCACTAGTAACTTTGTCACATAAAAAGTGAATATTAATCTCAATGTGATTAGTGTGTTGATGTCGAACATGATTGCTGAAGAGATACAAAGTGGTTGTGTTATCATGTTAAACTAGCGTGGCCTTTGAGACAAACCAATGTTATTTCAAAAGAAGATTCCTAAGCTAACATGACTCAAATACTACATTAGCAACTCCACGATATTCGACTTCAGCACTAGAACGTGATAATGTAGGTTCTCATTTTGATGACCATAAGATGATGTTGTCCCCAAGATATACACAATACCCAGATGTGGGCCTTTTGTGTTTAGATATCCACCCCAGTCTACATCAATATATATGTGATAAGCTTATAAATGGAGGAATGATATATATGTAGATTGAAATCAAGAGTTCCCTAAAAATATTGAATGATGTACTTCAAGGTAGACATGTGTTGTGTTTTCTGATTATGCAAAAATAAACACACTTGTTGCACGACATAAGTGGTATCAGGTTTGGTAAAAGTCAAATATTAAAGTGCTTCATCAATACTACGATACTGAATGGGATCATTATATGGATTTCTAGAAGATCCGCTTAGATTAGCTTATGTGTCCACCAATGTAGTAGATGGTTTACAAGAAGGCATATTTGTATGCTTAATAACTTCCTTAACATATTTCTTTTATGACAGAAAAAGATCTCTTGGGCGTCTAGTAATAGAAATATCGAGAAAATAATTAATAGGCCCTAAATCCTTCATAGCAAATTCAGAGTTGAGTTTAGTCAGGATGGATTGACGAATGGAATATGGGGAGACAACCAAAATGATGTCATTAGGAGGTTATAAGTTATATCATTGCCTTAACGATAGATGAATAAGGAATGATTGAATATGATCTTAGAGAAACTCAAGGTAGCAACATAGCCATAAAATTGATGATATTAAGCATAAGGTGCTTGTTTAAGTCTATATGGTGACTTTCTGAGCAAGCATAAATAATCAAGATGTTGAGGATTGTGAAAACCTAGTGGCTAATGCATGTTGATAGTTTCATCAAAATTACTATGCAAAAATACATTCTTGACATTTAACTAATGAAGACACCATGGTTTTGATAAAGCAACACCCAGTGTCTTCTAGAAGTGGTTGGGTTGACTACGAGACAAAAATTCTCACCATAATCGATACCATTTTGTTGGTAGGAACCATCACCTACAAGGAGATATTTGTACCTCTCAAAGGACCCATAAGATTTCTTTTTATGCCTTAAAATTCACAAACCTTGAATAATATTAGCGTTATATGGACAAGTCACTAAGTTCCACGTCTTATTTTTTATTAGAACATCATATTCGTCTTTCATGACCATTTTCTAATTATGATCATGTAATGCATGGATGAGATTAGTAGGCAAATGAGAAATAGAGTTTGTAAATGAGGTATGGAGATTAAAATTTTTGAGAGGCTTAAGCATTCCACGATATGCTCAGGTGGTCATTTGAGATGATGGAGGTGGGTGATGCGGTAAAATGATTGGGTCAGCAATTTGTGGCAAGTCCAATTGTGAGGACGATGTGGGATTTTGTGTATGTGGTGGCATTTGTGGAGATGTAGGGGAAGTAGTAATGGGATTTAGGGATGAGGTAATTATGGCCAATGGGGTAGCATTTTGATTATGGAGGGTTGAATTTTTGTAGTAGTGTTTTGATAAGAATAGATTGGATGAAAGTTAAGGGGTATGTCTCTTGTACCCAAAAACTTATAATTAGTGGTTGAAGAAACATTTAAGGTAGAAAACATAAATATATTGTAATAAAAAATGATATACCTAGAAATAGTCATTTTATAATCAACAACTCATAACATTTATAACCTTTGTAGTTTTTTAGGATAACCCAAAAACATCCAAAGAGAGAGTAACAAAGACATCCAAAGACTTAAGGTGAAAGTGTGATGGGTTTTTTCGAAGAGAATTTTAGTGGGAGTATGTTGGGCAAACTTTTCGTTGGGGAGGATGTTGAGGAGATAAGTGGACATATGTATGGCATGATGCAAAAAACAAGGTGACACGACTATATATACTACATCTCCTAAAAAAATTACTTCGTTGTACTAACCATTCAAGGTAAAATCTGATCCAAAATGCAACTTTATTTTATTTTATTTTTTAATTAAAAATATATCACCTATTCCCTGGGTTGCTAGGAAAATCGAAGAGAAAAGTCCTTCAGGGACCATCTTTGACTTCCAGTACCTACACTTTTGTGTTTTATTTATAATTAAAACGGTGTAATATTTTTTATAACAATTTTAATATTATAAATAAATAAAATTTCCCCTCATTTACTTGGTAAAACCGAGGAGAAAAGTTACCCTAGTTTTATATATAAAGCACCACATTTTTCACTTTTGCTCTAAACCTAACTAATCTCTCTGCCTTCAAACTTCATTTTCCATTTATGAATCCATATTTCTCCCCTAAACCAAACTCTATTTTGTTTTTTTCTTTTTGTTATTGTTGATTTTGTTGTTGTTTATGTTGTTGTTATTATTGTTTTGTTGTTGTTATTGTAGTTATTTTTTATGAATAATTTTTCAATGTTATCATCAATGAAAATATTCAATGATTTATTGCTTGCCTTAATTGACAATATTGAAAAAACCTATTCCTATTAATATTGAAAAGATATTGCAACCCAAAAAATGGTCAATGGTAAGAAGTGTTAGGTTACAATATGGATAAGAAACGCTCTAGGGGGTGAATAGACCTTCCAAAAATATTTTCTTTGAAAACAGTTTGAAAATTTTATTCAGAATTTTTAAAGCAAAAGTGATTTTGCACAGAGGAAAATAGTTTTAGTGAATAGAGTGATTATGCTTATAAATCGGAATTGGTGCGTAATGACTTGTGTAGTTCACAATAAAAACAAGATTGACACAAAAATTCAACCAAAACGTACAAACTAGTAAATGTATTGAATAGTTGTTAAATTACTTGAGAAGTGTGATTTAAACATAACAACTCTAAATGGATTCTACAATCGCGGTTTATAGTTTAACCTATAAAAAGACAAAATTGAAGTACAAATTCTAACAAAACCTACACATTTACAATAAATCGCTATCAAAAGAAATCCCAATGGTATTAAATTCTATAACGCAATAAAGAACAACCTAATCATGCAATGTCGGAAAAAAATTAAAAAGGGGAGAGAGAGAGAGAGAGAGAGAGAGAGAGAGAGAGAGAGAGAGAGAGAGAGAGATAGAGAGAGAGAGAGAGAGGGGGGAGTACATCGGGGTTTATACTAGTTTGGTGTGTTTGTCTTTGCTTTGTACCTAATATAGTCTCTAATGGTTGCCCATTGAAATTTTTTGGTCTTCCACTATGATTTGCGACAAATAAAATTTGAAATTACAAGAGTTCATACAATCACAATATCCGAAATTACAATATTTTGATAATCACAATATCCAAAACGCTGGAAAATTAAAAAAAAATTGGATCATTGACTTGTACACAGTCTACATATTAAACTATATGTGAAATCGCTTCTTGAATCTTTCAGCCCAACAGTCTGCTTCTAAGTCTCCGTTCTGTAATAATATTTACTCGACCCCACTGGCATCTTAAGCGTTGGAATGTCCGAAGATTGATAAGAACTTCTACCCTGTTTGTTGGATTCCAACAACACTACTAAGGTCAACCTGAAGAGAAGAATTTACTTTTTTCCCTCTAGAATTATCAAAACCAGTCATAACACCACGCACCCTTGTGAACATGTAAAATATTAATCAAATCTTCAAAGAAACTTTATATTCAAAAATGAATCTCCTTATCAATCACTAATATTCAAAAATAAGATTCAGATCTATACAAAAATGGAGAAAGAATGAGGAATAAAATGAAAGAAATAATTCGCAAGTGTTCACAA